TAAACTGAAAATAAAATAAAGAAGAAAATAATAATAGACACATTAATAAATGTTAATATAATGCTTATTAATAAAACTAATATATCTTACGATACAAGTAATTAATACATATAATTAATGTAATAATCATATAACAATAGATGTTTTGAGTATTTTCGTGATCGACTTTGAATAAAAAAAATTATATAGAATTCTAGATTTATTCCTTATTCTTATTGAAATATGAATTTTAATTTTAACTTCAATATCAATTATTAATTTATAAAAATTAATAATTCACAAATAGACTCCAAATGATTTTTATTATGAATTTTATTAAGGTTTAATCCTATAATTAAATAAGTTGAAAATAAATTAAACAATATATAAAATCTTAAAATTTACAGTTACGTGACGGATGATTAGATTTTTGATCAAAGATATATAGGATTTTAACTTGTAAAATGGATGATTTTGTTGTAATTCGGAATATTATTTCTAACTACTGTTAGAAAACTTGCTTGTAAATGGTTTTATACTTTCATTTTTTTTAAAAAAAAGAAAAAAATAATTAAGCTATAAAGAAACAAGTTTGTAACTTCGCTTACTAGTAAACCAAATATCGACAAAACAAAGCCAAAATGAAAAGAAAAACCATAATATGTGACAAAATTTCTAATAAACCTCCTAATATCAAACCAACATTTCCTTCCAATTTAACAACAAATGAACTCATCAAAAATGCCAACTCATCTAACAAAATTGGAGCAAAAACATTCCCAAATGCTTTTGTCGCGTATAGAATGGCATTAACAAAAGAATATCATAATAACGTTAAATTATCCTAAATGGGCCAACTTTCTAAAATTGCAAAAGATTCTTGGGAGAGAGAATCACAAGATGTTAAAAAGTTTTACAATAAGCTAGTTGAGGATGCTAAAACTTTGTATAAGCAAAATAATATCCAAATCGTTTTTGATAAGCATATCATATGGATCTTAATAATCAATCAATCGGACAACTTGCGAGAGGTGGCGCAAAATTGGATCAAGATACCAATGTCGTGAAATAAAATTCCACATGTTCCAAAGGATTCTTCTTACAATTTTAGCTTTTACGATGATCTATATGGACAGAATCCAGCTAATCGAGAATTATTTTATATACTTGACTTTTATTTCAATATGAATACACAAGCATGAATATATTTAGAAATATGAAGCGGTATTATAATAATATTCATAAGTATTAAAAATTAAATAATTAGAAATAAGGTTATGTCACGGAAATTTGCTATTGTTAGTCCCAAACGAAGCGAAGGACTATATAATATATTTCTATGCGCTTCATCCCTAGAATCGAGTAGCTTGATGTATATGACAATGATTTACTTACAGAAAAATTCTCTTGAATTTATTTCATTTTTTTAATAATAAAATTAATACACTTTTTTTCATTTACGGGTTTTTCTTTTTCGTTATCTGTATATGTACCTAAACACAAAAATAATAAAAGATTTACTTTATAATTTATTTAAATTTTCATTTCGGACTTAACAACAGTTCCCGTTATCTAGTTATATTAGAGCAACTGATGTTATGCAAATAGATGCATCCTTGAAAAAGTAGTATTTTCAGGATTACTAACCATTGGTTCAATTTAATATAAGAATAAAATAGAATTTCCATACCATATAAATAATTAGATGCAATGCACTTAAGAAAGAACCTGTCTGCTAATTTAATTATATAAATATATTAATTGTAAAAGTATGTTTTAAGTAATTTATAAATTTTAACAAAGCTATAAGAACTTGATCAGAGTATCTAAATTTTAAACTACAACGCATGCCTATTGATAATAGATTGTATTCTGAAAAATTAAAAAGTTTGGTGTTAAATGAGAGAAATTACACCCGTCTTACTAGAGGTGAACTGGCTCGTTTTCTTGATCATATTTATCCAATTCTAATTGTTAGCATATTGTAAAAGTTTTTTACGCTTAAAAAGTTGGACTAAGAGGTCTAATTTCAGTATTCTTTAATTGTGTTCTCTTATCTATTAATTATATCGATGAATAAATGAGGAAGCTTGATATCAATTTTTTTCTGTTAAGATAATTATAGAGTTTTATTTGGAGATACAGTACGTGGATGCATATTGTGTGTCAATATAAGTATTTTTTTCTTTAAAAATTTATTTTGGAAATGATCGGCATACAATAGGCATATGCGATGCCGCCTAAAATTTATTTAATAATTTGAAATGCGTTCAGTTTATCAATATGTACTTAATCCCTAACAAGTTTCTAAATTTAGTAGATTTCCAAATATAATTTACAAAAATAAAGAAATCTTTTTATGATGAGTATATATGTTAAAAAATAATCAATTTTATAACCTATTTCCCGTGATTGTTCTATAATTGTGAATTAATTTATGAAAACTATAAACTGGTAAATTTATAAATTCATAAAAATAATATTTCATGATTAAGAAACAACAAACGTGGTGATATTAATGGTTAAGCTAAGTCTTGTAAAGATACATTTTCATTTTGAACAAGTTTTTTTAAACATTTAACAGTTCCTTCACCAAATTTCTCAACTTTGTTATGATTTGCAACGCCGTCTTGATAGCAAATAGTAAAGGTTAGTTTATCTTCAAAACTTATAACGTTGATAGTAAATGCCGAATACATGGTAACGGATGATTGACAAAATATCAAATCATTAACCTTCCATTCATTAGCGGAAGGATTTCCTGAAGTTAATTCCGAAAATTTTCCTATACTACTAACCATCATACTACAATCTCTTCCCATTATTCTATCATCGGCCTTATTCCTTAAAACATCTTTATATTTTTGACTTTCATTTGGAAGCAAATTCAAATTTCCTAGAAAATTGATGGCATGTGGAATACCATTGTTTATCAAATCACTTCTAAATTCTTTACACATCTTCCAAAAATCTAGTTGTGGATAATTATTATCATCTGTAATCTTAGATATAGGATATTTATATATTGATTCACTTCCAGATATATAAACACCCATTTGAGTCCAAGGTGTCAATGGTGTCGTGTACGGTCTTAAGTTAATACAAGTGGCCAATTTAATAGCATCGAACGGGGCTAGCTCCCGCGCGTTTTTTGATAAATTGTTATCATCTTGATTGCTACCAAGTATTAAATGATGATAGGCGGAGAAAACTAACGCAATGTTAAAGATAGAAGTAATAGTGGTTTTATGTTGTTTGCTTAACCTGAGTAATGTATTTAATTCTTCAGCTGTGATGGAGTAAAAAAGTGTTTTGGTGTTATTTTTTGTAAAAGAAAATGAAGGATTATCGCCTAACCAATAACCTTTTAATTGTTTCTTCACGAAAAATGTTGGCAAAAGGTAAAATTTAAGCAATTCTTTAACAGTTTGTGCTAATGTAAATTTGAATTCAAGACATTCTTCGATCGGTTTACCAAGTGGAATTGTAGAATGTTTTGGAAGTTTGATTTTAGTTGTAGGTTCTTTAGTATAGTCGGAAATCTCACTTAATATTTCCAAGAGAGATTCATGAAATGAGGTATACATTACTAGGGCACTTCTTCCATCTCCAATAGTATGATGCCAAAATATTCCAAAAAACAAATTCCAATCATTAGAGATTTCTCGCTCATTGCACGCGCTTTTAATTCCGACAACAATTCTCCATAACGGTGATGTTTGATCCTCTACATCAAATTTCTTATTATGTTCTTCTTCCAATAATTTTTCAATATCTTTATCATCATTTACTACTGCAAATCTTACTATTCTGCTTAAATCTATTTCACGAAGACGAATAAATAGGGGTTTTGAACTGTATAAATCTGCAAATACGACCGCTAATGCTTGTTGTTTTGATATCATTCGTTCAAGTGTTGGGTAAAGAATTTTTAAAATTGCATCTTTTGTATCGGTAGGAATTGGAGTAGATGGTGTAGAAACGAGAGAAAATTTTAAGGGAACTTTGTAACGAATCAAGAGACCAACATTGTAATAATGTTCTATATCATGAGTTATTTGAAAATATCTTTCAAGAAGACCGAGCGGACGAATGACATCGACGTTACTTTCATTATTGATTTTCATTTTTATTTCTCTACGATAAAAATTATTTAATTATAAAGTAGCGTTTATTATTATAAAGGCGAAACTTCCTTAGGAACTTATTAATACGCAATTTGATCATTTTATACTTTATTTCTATCGCTTATAAATCTTTGTTTATCCATTGTGTAATGGTTTGCATTATTAATCATGATGTTTGTCCAATTAAAATAGAATAGAAATACTAAAAAAAAATAAAAATAAAATAAAATTTGTGCGACAATTATTGACGTCATTTTGCATGTAATAATCACTACTGGCGCAGCAGGTACAATCCGATTACAGCAACTAATCTTAAACTTCCCGACATTTGTTCTTTTATAAAAAAGCATTCCTCCGAAATAATGTGTCTCAAGTGAGCGTTTCGTAGCTATTATAACACGAAAAGGAGTCGAAACGGTAGGTAATTGTTTTTTTAAAGCATCTTTATTGGCTTCTTTCATATCATATTATGCCCGGATTCAATATTGTTTTTTAAAAAAAAAGTAAGTGTGAAGGATATGGGATGATTTAGGCGCAAAAAGTTAGAAAAAAAGATGTTATTGTATTATTAAGAAAATAAAAAAAATAAAATGTGAGAATTAAAATGCATAGGAATATACTCATAATTTTTAAAAAGACGTAAATCATACACGTGATGGATCATAACGAAATCATCTGAACAAAAGAGGTTGGCACTTTAACGTACGTGCAAGATTCAAATAAACAAAAAAATGGCAAAATAAGAAACTATTTGTCAAGATATTTCAAAGTTGCTATAGAAAGCAAGAATGCAATATTGCATTACACGCAAGGATGTTAAACAATTTCTTCCCAGGAACAACAGTTGCAATTAAATTTCCTTCTTTATGAAGTTTACATGATTTAGTTATTAACTGTTTTAAAATAAAGTTTAATGATTTTTTAACATTTTGCTCCGCCTTAATTTTATGTAAAAGTTAACTATATCATTGAACATCTCATGTATCCTATTAATACTATACAAATAGGAGTGTGTAAGGGGTGGATTACTTGTACTTTATGAAAATAATTAATTAATTAAAATAAATGTAAAAGAAAAAAATTAACTCGGAAAAAATTCGCAAGCGAAAAATGTTCGTTATTTATTTATTCATTTTTTTTTTAAAAAATAAGCCTAAAATATAGAGTTTTAATAATAATGACAAATTTCTTCATATTTCAAATTTACGGAAAAAGATCAATTAGAGTGAAGTAAATAACAAATTGTTTGTTCCAAAATGCAAATATACTCTTCTCGATCATTAAACGTTGAATTCATTTCATATGGAACTTCTGAAATGTTAGGGGAATTAACTGGTGGATAATTAAAATTATTATAATGAGAAGAATGAATGTCGCTAGTAAAATCCTGAATCGGGTGAAAATTATCTGTTGTATGCTGCGTAATGGTTGTATTTTCAACAAGAAAATAATCAGTATTGACGGAATTCGATTCCATGTCAGTCCTCTCGCTTTGTTGATCATCTAGAGTCATTTCCATACGCTTATCAAATACGATTTCAAAATTTTTTTGCTTATACAAAGATTTAGCATCCTCAGCTAACTTATTGTAAATATCTTTGATATCTTGTGATTCTTTCTCCCAAGCCTTTTTAGCGATTTTAGAAAGTAAACCCATACGGGGTAATGTTATGTTGTTATTATGATATTCTTTAGTTAACGCCATTCTATACGCGATAAAAGCGTTTGGGAATGTTTTTGCTCTACCTTTGTTAATGTTGGATTTAATAGCATTTTTAATATCACATTTTGTTAAAGTTGGAGGTAAAGGTAATTTAACATCAATGAGATTGTTATTAAGACTGCTGTCACTAATATCGGGTTTTTTATTCATCTTGGTATTGTTTTCGTCAATATTTTTGTTAATAATAAGCGTAGTCGTAGTTATAAGTTTGTTCATTTTTTGCTTTTTCGTTTTTGACATAACTTTTATAAAATTATTTTATAAAAAATATAAATATTGTAAAGAGATTATTTTTTTAATTATTTTTCTGTTAGGTTCATTTACAATATAACTTCTCATCGTTCATGGCTTCGTCGTGTAACCTAAATATACTTTGTTAATCAATAATTTAAGTTAGGTCATTGACAATCATGTCGTACATGAATGAGTTTAAGTTTTTTTTTTAAGCATGTCATGTATGCTATGTATGCTTTCACTACATTTGCCGCAGTACGCAGTTTTTTTTTAATCGTTCAAGACTAACACCGTATAAAAGTTTATTGATGAATTTTTTGCAGATTAAACTATAATTAACTTTAATTTATTAAACCAATTTATTTAAATTACTGATAACTTCGAACTCTTCTTATTATTTATATATTCCAAATTCTGCAAAAATAATCTAAATTGTTATCTCTTTCGTGTAACAGTTTGTTTTTTCCAAAAAAAAAGACCGTTTCACGCTTCGAAAATTATAGGGTATAACTCACAGATATATTTACATAGGAAATAATTTTTTTCTTTATTTTTCAAAAAGTATTTTGTTACAACTTCTTTAGGTTATTGTGTATTCATTCATAAAATTTTTTATATTCTTTGAATGCTAATTAAATACAAAGTTATCGAATTTTTAAGCTTTCGGATTATTTAATGGAAATGCCTCCAATTTCAAGGTGAGCTTGTCAGTTAGAAAAGCACGTGAAATTAGAGCTCAAAAGTCAGAAGCAAAGAAAAATGACAATAAGAAAAATGAAGTGGATAGGCAACGAAATAAATTAACAACAATTATCTGATAAAGAGGTCCCAGCGGTTTAAACGAAGGATAAGCAAGTTGTCACCACCATTTGGAGAGGAAGTTGCAGCAAATATTTTAGTTATACTACTTGACAATAAATAAATAACGTTGACATAATATACAGTAAATTAAATCGCATTAGGAAATTATTGTGAGTTCGACCTTTATTGCCACATGATTTACATGAAAAAAAAGTCATAAGTAAACTTTTATATGAGTCATATATATTTTTGATTTAATTAGTTGGCAGCGCACCCTAATGTTATATGCGCTAATATCTAAGTAATATGTCGAAATATCGAAAGTCGGAATGCTTTTTGAAGATAATTTTTTTCTTGAACTTGTTTACAATGACGAAAGTATATTAATTAACGTTAATCAATAATATAACAATTCGAAACAATTTATACATTCTTAATCTGTATATTCATTTCCATTTATGAAATGTTTATACGTTTTCATATTGTTCAATGAGCACGTTATTAAAGAAAATATGGTTGCTGCGGAAAGTAAACAATTGTCAATGAAGTAAATAAAAAAAAAATCTTGACGTATTACATCAGGTCTATTACGCGATACTTTTCCTAGTATGGAATCATTTTGTTTTTTTAACGATAAGGTCTAAATTTACATATTTGGTACCTAAATAACTACAATTGTGAAAGCATTTATTCAAAATTGCAGAAACATCATTATTTACCTCGATAAGCAGATTATTGCAAATAAAAAACAATTAGTCGTTCTTCGTGACCCGTATTCAAAAAAAAAAAATAAATAAATAAAAAATCAATAAAGACGAAAATAAATATTCTTAATTTTAAGAATATATGAACACGCCTAAAGAAATTGTATTTTCATCAAATTTTTTCAATTTATAATTTAAAATATTTACGCTGTGAATTATCGCACAAACTTATGATAAAATTTATTATTTATCGCAGCATTTGATTGTAACTGTAAGAATAAGATCTTCGTTTTGTTATTTGTTATCGTTATACAAGATATATTGAACGGAAAAAAATTTTTTTTAATTTATATTTTTCTTATAAATTTATAACTAACTTGTTTCAAATATATCAATACTTTATTTAATCGGTTAATTTATCTTTTTTTTTGAAGAAAGGTATTCAAATTTTTCATCTAGTCTAGTTCAAGTCTTACTACCCCTACAACTGCAACCCAGAGGTGAGAAGATATATATGCCACTGTTTTCCTATCCATTTTTTTAATCTTAAACCCACTAACTTACTATTAAAAAAAAAGAAAAAGAAAAAATCATCTCTAAAATGTACTCTTTTACACTTTCCTGATCTAGATCAATTGCTGTCACAATATGCAATCGACTATACTTCGGTTGAGAAAAGATCGCCTTAATCAAGCCAGGGACATCTTACTTGCATCCCAAGAGGAAAAAATGGATGCGAACGAGGATATGAAGCCAATAATTATCAAGGAAAATGTGTCACTTAAATCCTACATCAAGCATCGCGAATCTGAGCGAAAGCTGCTTCCTGTTAGCATTCGTTTGATCGATGGAAAAATTATAAGTTATGAAGTACCTCTCTCATCCCATGGAGCGGTAGCAGGAAAAATTTCTTTCTCGATACATTCCTGGAATAATCAATTAGACGGCGCAAATGTAGAGGACCTTATTGTGGGACCGAATAGTTATTATACTGCTGATCGACCAAAAGATCTTCCTAAAGCTCCAACTGGTCAGGGATCTAACATGCATACCCAACATTGGTAGTCGAGGTTGGAATAATTGAGACTATTCCAAGCTTGCATAGTCTTTCGACAGGTTATTTTTCTCCACGAGCAAACATTCAAATTTATATTATTTATATTGCGATCAAAATGTTTTCCAAGCGTCAGGATGGTACAATGGAAAGTCTTGCATTGCGCTACCTAGTACAAATCAAAATTATACAGTGCCAGATATCATCATATCTTTTGGCACTGCTGCACCTCTCCGATATAATACGAAAAAAGATCCCGTTAAAATTATTATTGCATAATATTTTTTTATTAAATTTTATAACGAGAATAAATAAAGTTTTCGCCTGCTTAACCGTCATTATTATAAATTTTTTCATTAGGCAAATGTATGTTTCAAAAATAAATTTATTCTGACCAAAATTTTTATAATGCATTGTGGCATAGACCAAGTCTGCAGCCCTTAGGGTTATTCTTTGAGTCATAAAAATACGTTTATATATAGGACCAGTAGGACCAGTACGGTATGTACTGGTTTCCTCCTCCCTGGTTTCTATATTCCCTGTTATGATCTCAATGATATTAATAGAGATTTTGCATGATTATTGGGGATCGTCAAAAGCATACTCAATAAAAAAAATTTTTTTCTAATAAAAAAAAATATAAGTTTCGATTTTTTTTTATTAGATCTTCGATAGTTGGAATCAATTACATACAATCCATACCTCGAAAAAGCAAAAATAAACAAGGCACAGTTATTTCTTTCTGGCCCTTACATTCCCATCAAAATAATGGCAGGCATTGCATGACATTCGACTGAAATTAATTGTTCGCACATGTGATTGATGGCATATTTATGAAATTATTATCGCTTAGCATTGATGTAAAGTAAGTTCTATTACAGAAGGCGTATATTAATGACTTATCAAATATTATCACATTGATGAATAGCCCAGCAGAAACATGCATCGGTGATGCAAAAATATCACGTAATTTTCGTGACATTTTTTGATGTCAGTGAAAACACTATAATTATCATAAGATATTCAAAATGAATTATTAGGTTATTATTGGAAGCAATTATATAAATTAAAATTATTGAAATGATATATTTTTTATCCAATTAGATTAAAATTTTTTTCAGTCAGTATATAATCAATAATATAAATCTTGTCCGAATCTTATTATATGGGGCCTTTGAATATTTGACATATAAAGTAAATTTGATGTTTCCCGGCAGTTTCCCCCTTTCTATTGCAAAGGCCCCATATTCATGGCATGTGTATTAAGTTTCTACATTCAAACTTGCGATAAATTATGTACAGTATGATAAAATTTAATATTTTTCCGTAGCATTTAATTGAAATACTGCGGTAAGATCTTCATTTCTTGATTCCGTTATCGTTATACAAAATAATTTTTTGGGTTTAAAAAAAGTTTTATTTTTTTTAACAAATATTAACGATGTCTGATAGTGACAATAAAGGTAAAAGAATAATAGAATGTCAAAAAAAATTCTAACAAAAAAAAATAACAGAAAAAAGCTCAAAGTTTTTTTGACGGTTAGATGATTTCTAAAAAAAAATTATTCATAAATTCATATTATAGAGTCATTTACAGATGATATGGAAGCATCTTCGTTAGAAGAAATAGGAGGTAATTCCATGCATTATTAATACATTTATAATTATTTATTATACGCATTTTTATTCACTAAAATTAAATTTTAAACATGGAATAAGCTTCAAGTAACGAAGGTAAATATATAAATAATTAACTAAGCCACGAAGATCTAATAACTTTAATACTTTAGTGTAATTCGTTAATTATATGTTTATTTACTAAATTTCGAGTTATGAAGGAAATATAATAATATAATAGAAATATAAGAATTTAACAACTCTTAATTTTTGATCAAAACATTAGAAGGATTTTTCGAAAATTTTCTCAACAATATTATGATAGAGCCAGTTTCGGACACTTCTTATGGTAATGAACATTTATTTATTTTTAAGTCAAATAATAATTTTTTATTTTTTATTTTTTTTTTAAAAAATAAATAAAATAAAATAAAATTGTAAATTAAATTCGCAGCATATAGCTTCTACATAAGAAGGTAAAAAAGCATATGCTAAACAAACTCTATTATCATTCTTGCTAATAGGATTACAGGTGAATTTTACATTTCACGTTATATAACAATTGTACTGTTTCCGTATAGAATCACTTATTCTTACATAACCACAATTATTTTTAATATAAAGGTCTGAGTGGAGAAAAAAACTGTGCTGCAATTCGAGCAAATTTTCCAATTCCTGAACAATGTGGATTATTTTATTTTGAAGTTGACATTATAGATAAAGGGGAAAATGGGTGTGTTATAAAACTTTGTAATACAGTTTTTCTCTGATATATAAGTTGATTATTTAAATTTTGCTGATAATTCTATTTTTCAAATTCCGTAGGGAGATTGGAATCGGGTTTTGCACAAAATCAGCTAGCCTAAATGAAATGCCAGGTAATTTTACACTTCTTTTTATCAGCTTAATTTGTTAAAATAATTATTTATTGAATTATTTATATTTTAGGCTGGGAAGATTGCTCGTGGGGTTATCATGGCGATGATGGAAACTCGTATTTTGACTCTTATGACGAACCATATGGAACAGATTTTATGACCGATGATACTATCAGATGTTGTTTAAACATTAGAAATAGTATGCTATTTTATACAAAAAATGGAGTGAATCTAGGTAGCTATTATCATATTACAAATGCTTGGTTATTTTAAGTTAAATAATTGAGACTTAATATCTATGTTTATTTTAAGGAATTGCATTCCGAGATTTAAAAAATACTTTGTATTCTTGTGTTGAAATATTGTCGCCAGGTGGATCTGTAAGAGCAAACTTTGGCTATAAAAAGTTCAAATATACAGGTATATTTATTTAGTTTCTTTTTTTCTTTACTTTATTAATAATAATTATTTTTTAGTGATGAATGATGATGATATTGATGAATCTTTAAAGGAGAATTGGGCTGAAATTCTTAATCCATATAATGACAAATTAATAAGTCAACAGATTATTAGATTTGCAGATTTAAAACAATCATCAGATGCTAAACACATATTAAAATACCGAGGAAAGCTTTATTTTGTCATAGGTGAATATGAACTAGCACTTTCCGATTTGATAAAGTTGCTGGAGTTTGAAGCAAATAATATATTTGCATTAAGATATCAAGGAGAAACTTTTTGTATGATGGAAAAATATGAGGAATCATTTGCAGATTTAAACAAATTACTAGAAATCAAAGCAAATGACACATGGATATTAAATGCCATTGAAGTAGTTAATAAGTTGAGTATAAAGTTAGTTTATTTTAAGGATTAAATTTAATAATTCTTTTCTAATTAATAAAATATCAAATTTTCAGCAAAGATTTAAATGGTAATAGTAAAAAGAAATTGTTATGTATTTGCTAAAAATTAATTATTAATTTAATTTTTTATTTTATATTAATATTATAGCTTGTAAGCTATTTATTTTTTTATATTTATAACTTATATATAATTAAATTAAACCTTTTAATTAAACAATATCTATACCATAGGGAGTAAGTTTTCTATAATATTTTATATAACAATTTAAACATAGCTAATTTATTTTAAAATATTTTAATGATATTTTTAGTTAGTAAGTTATTTTTATGAAGTATATTATATTTAATTATAATTTTATAATTATTTATGCCCGCTAAATTTTTATTTAAAAATTGTAGAATGTAAGTTATATTCATTAATAAAATTAACTATAATTTTTACTACAATATAATCAAAAATGCTAATATATTAATAATATTACAGAAAGTCAATTATTTTAATTAATTAATTATAATTTTTATTATAATAAAATTTAAATTTAACTAAATAATTTTTATTTAAAAAAATAATTAATATTTAGATTGTAAGTTATTTTTATTGATTATCAGTATTTAATTATACTTTTTACTGTAATTTAAATTCAACTAAATTTTTTATTTAAAAAAATAATTTAAAATTTTAGCTAGTAAGTTATTTTTATTAATTATCAGTATTTAATTATACTTTTTACTGTAATTTAAACTCAAAAAAATGATTTAAAATTTTAGATTGTAAGTTATTTTTATTAATTATTAATATTTAATTATACTTTTTACTGTAATTTAACTCAACTAAATTTTTATTTAAAAAAATAATTTAAAATTTTAGATTGTATGTTATTTTTATTGATTATCAGTATTTAATTATACTTTTTACTGTAATTTAAATTTAACTTTAAAAAATATTATATTATTATTAGTTAGTAAGTTATTTTTATTGATTATTAGTATTTAATTATACTTTTACTATAATTTAAACTTAACTAATTTTTTTATTTAAAAATATCTTATTATTAGATGATAAATTATTTTTATTTATTATTTGTAATTTTACTTTAATATATAAAATAATATTTAATTTTAAAATATACAATAAATTTGTAAAATTTTTTAATTATAATTAAATTAGTAAGTTTTATTTTAAAGTTATAATAAAATTGTTATAATAATACTAATATAAAATATTTATTAGAAAAAAAGAAATATGTTCAATTTGTAATACAAAATATACTGGATATAAATGGTGTAAAAAATGTTATTCTAAATAGTTTCTACAAGATTTTATTAATTGGACCAGTAATAATAAATTTATTAATAAATTTATTCAAGATATTCAACTAAATGCTAAAAATACAAGGCAAATATTAGAATGGATTCCTTATAATAAATTAGTAAATATTGAATTTCTTGATAAAGGAGGATTTAGCACTATATATAAAGCTATTTGGTTAGATGGATTTATATGGACTTATTCATATGATAATAAAAATTGGATTAGAAGTAATAAAATTGAAGTATCTCTTAAATGTCTTAATAAATCATACAATTTAAATGAAGAATTTTTAAATGAAGTATGAAATTAAATATTATTTTGAATTTTAATAATAAATTTTAAATAAATTTTTATTATTTTAGTAGAAATATCATTATGAATGTTATAGTCAATTAAAAATATATTCAAATGAAAATCTTATTCAAATTTATGGATTTACTCAAGATCCAAATACATTAAATTATATAATAGTAATGAAATATGCAGAAAATAGTAATCTAAGAAAAAATTTATTAAAAATAGCTAAAGATAAATGGATTATTAAATTATTACAATTAAATAATATTATTATAGGACTTGATGAAATACATAAAAAAAGTTTTATTCATTGTGATCTTCATTATGGCAATATTTTAAATATTAGAAGAAAAATATTATCTATTAGTGATTTAGGATTATGTAAACCTGTAGAATATTTTCAATCATCTAAAAATGATGAAATTTATGGTGTTTTACCATTTGTAGCACCTGAAGTTTTAAGAGGTCAACCTTATACTTTAGCTAGTGATATATATAGTTTTTCTATAATTATGTGGGAATTTATATATGGAATTTCTCCATTTGATAATGAAGCTCATGATTTTCAACTTAGCTTAGATATTTGCAAACGTAAACGTCCTATAATTATTAAAAATATTCCACAATGTTATATAAATTTAATGAAAAAATGTTAGGATATGGATCTATTAAAAAGACCAACTGCATCAGAAATTAAAAAGATTATTAAAAATTGGAAAGTAAATATCATTAATAAAAATTTTAAAAAAGAATTAAAGGATGATATTTTAGATTTTTATAAAGCAGATAAGGCTTTAAAAAAAATATATAATAATAATGTTATTAATGATGATGAAGTTATTGTTAAATCACATCCACAAGCATATTATACTAGTCAATTACTTAATTTTTCTAAAAAATTAAATAATATTTTAGATTCAGAAATTAGTCAAACTATTGGTAATTATTACAGTATATTTATTATATTAAATTTATAAAATACATTAATTTTAATTATTTTTTAATATTAATATATTTATTTAATTTAATAGAAGCCTTAAATATTAAAAGTGATAAAATAAATGATTTAAATTATCTTTAACTATTTATAAAATAAATTAATATATTAAATAATTATTTAAAGAATTATTTATTTTATTTATATTTTTATTTTATAAATATTTATTTAGTAACACTATATATAGAATATTTTATTAAAAATATGGGTAGTATTCTATTAAAATTGAGGTACGGATCATATGATTTACTATGTCTCGTAACTCACTTTTAATAGATCAGCTCCCATATAGTTTGTAATTATTAAAATAAAATTTATAAAAAATTAAAAGCAACTTTTGGTTAATTTAACACTGGTGATGATCACGACCGGTGATAAATAGGAAACTCCTATATATAAATACATTATGAATAGTAATTGAATTTTTTTATTATCTCATATGATCAATAATATTTAAGGAGTGAAACAAATATTTTTTTTAGCAATATTAGGAGCCAACAGCCTGTGAACAGAAATGTTGATCATTATTGATTGCGAATTTCTACAAAAATATTTTGATGCTATAGGGAGAGAGAGTGGTAAGAAAAATCGCAAATGGTTATTTGCTAATTTGCCAGGAATAAAAGTTTTTCAGGAAAGAGAAATTTGGAAGGAGGAGTATAATTTATATTGTAATAGTTTAAAATCACAATGGAATTCATTATTTCATTATATCGGAGTCCAATTATAAGATATTGCAGATACATTCGTTCAAATTATGATCGTACCGCCTCGCATCGCATCCTCTCATTGTACAATGATTACAACAATCATTTTAAATTTTTGAAAAGTTTAATTTTTTAAAATTATAAAAATAATTTATATTAATTTAGAACTGTTATTTTTATTTCCATTTTAAGAACTCAATTTTTTTAATAAAATGATACTTTATCATTAATATGTTTAATATGTTATATATTATAATAAATATACTGTATATAAATTAATTTACCTCATAGATTATAATATACTGTATGTATTTTTATTATTATTTTTCGTTTTTAGTTTAATTACTTTTTGGTTTAATCTTATCAGATCAGACAATACTTATATACTTACTCTAATAGTAAGGATGTTGTATTTATTATGTTTTTAGTACTTATTGTTATAACTTAATAAACAAATTACCAGGTCATGTATATAATAACTAATTTAATATATAACAATAGTTGAAAAAATAATTCATTTTGATGATGATTCTAGTTACTACCTGCAGAGTTTTGTATAATTATTTGATAGTCCAATCGTCCTTTTAAAATATTTGTCGCGAAAATATAAATTTACAAATATTTTGCAAATTATTCTATTCTAGTGAATTAAAATTTTTACAAAAAGAACTTACAAATTTTTATTTTATAAATTTTATTATTTTAATAAACTTTACGACATATTGTTTGAGATTAATGTTAGTAAATTAATAAATAAGTTAAGATTTCAACACGTTTAATACGCTTTCTATAAAGCATTATATTGTGTAACTGCACGATAATACAGTAAAGTACCAATTGATGATTTTACAAATATATAAAATACAAGTAGCAAAAATACACGTATATGCAATGCAGCATTTAATATTTTTAAATTTATTTGGATAACATTTAGCTTGTCATGTTCGTCTGAATTTTTTTCACCGCTAAAAAAATTTGTTTCACTACCTCTTAAATTTCACTGGTCACGTGTGGTAATAAAAAAAAAACCTTCAATTACTATTGGTTGATTAACAAAGATAATAAGTAGCAAAATTTTTTTATTATATAAAAATTTTTCCATTTTTATCTTATTTTTAATTTCAATAAAATTACAACGAATCAAACGAATCAACACATTAATTTATATATATTGTTTCATTTTGTTTAAAGGAGAAAACAAAGAACGATAAAAATTAATTTTAAGAAAGAACAATCCCTAAATCATTTATTTGTTTAAACAAGGACTATTTTTTTTTTTAAAAAAATTGTTTTTACGTTATTTTCGAAAAAAAATATATTTTTAATACAAAATGTACATAAATCTTGAATAAATTCCTTCTGAGCAGAAAATATAAATTAATGCTCTTGTAAATTTAGAAGATAAATTAGCAAATTTTTTATTTTTATTTTTTATTTCTTTATTTACTTATTTACTGACAATAGAAGTGATAATAAATACTATAAATAATTTGTTTATATTTATCATAAAAGAGCTATCGATTTTATTATAGAATTAGTTGCATTATTATCAAAAGAATTGCACTACAGAGTTTTTACTGTATTTAACATGTTGACACATAGATGGAAGCCCTCAATGGAAATTTGCAGATGACAATTGGATATAATGATAGATTTTTCAAAATACACAAAGAGTAATATGTCATGCAACATTACTATCGTTAAAAATTAATGAGGATAAGCGATAGAACAATCTCCTTCAACAAGTTCACATTAAAAAAAAATCCACTCCGGAAATCATCAATAGAATAGAATACTTCGAACCAGAATATGTTCGAAACATATTAGTCAATTCATACCAATTTAGTTCACTGTACACCATTATGTATTGTTTACAAGTTTTATGTAATATATAGACGGACGTAAAATCACGTTATTGGAGGAATAAAAAGTATGGAAGATATTGCTTAAATACCACGAAGAATTAATGCGATATTATTAGAAGCAAAAGAGAACTGACGAAAAATTTAAGGTTTTTTTACGTATAAATTAATAAATCAATAAAGCAAAGTCCCTCATTATTGGAATGTCATATCTGTTTAAATGGACAATTCTACTAAAATTTTTATTAAGTTTAACCAAAAATATAAATTATAAATTCGTCCATTATGAATTTATTATTATTATTTTTTAAAAATATTAAATTTGTTACAACTTATCATGCAGGACTAATATAATGATTTGTGTAACATAATTTTTTTTTAATAAATTATTATTTTCGCGCTTGCTATTAAAATCTGAAAAATGGATATGCTATTAAAATTGAGTTACGAGACTTAGTAAATCATATGATTCGTACCTCAATTTTAATTATGTTTATGTTATTTAATTTTCAATTTACTAACCATAATAAATTGTTAGGTCTATTTGCAATTTAAAACACATGAAGATTGAACTTTATTTTCCCATCGAAAGAATAAGTCAATTGTGAAACTTGCTATTATTCTTATCAAATCACAAACTACTCTCTAAATGATTTAATGTGATGACAACTTATTTTTATTTCATATCTATCTTTTTATTAAGCAAAAATAAAAATAAATGCGTACCCAATGTTATATATGTGAATTTTTTTTAAAAAAAATTAGTAACATTAATAGGGAATCGAAAGTCGTAAAGTCGAAAGTCAATTGTAATAACGATTTTGAATCTCAAAATCGGCAAAAATCGGTTGCACAAAATCGATAGATAAAGTAAATAGATTTTTTCTACTACAACACGCACTAAATGACGAAATCTTGAAGCTTTAAAGAAATTATGAAGTCCAAACACTGGTAAAAATTAATTAGCTTATTATTAGATGAAGAATTCATTTTAAATTCTTATTTGAGCAAAGTGAAACAATATTTATTTTTTTCTAATAATTTGTTGAAGATTGTATCGAAAAATCAAAAAAAAATTGTCATGTGAAAGCTCACAATTTGTGAAACATAACCATTTAATTAATATTGTTTATAAAGTTTTTTTTTTTATAACTGAACTGTTCTATACTTAAAAAGATTGAAAAATTCATATCGATTTCGCCGATTTTTGATTTTCAAAACTGGAATCAAAAATCATTTTTAGCATCCATAATGATACAGACCTAGCTCTTAAGAAAAACCACTTTTTCTAAATTTAAGCAATTAAAGTCTATTTATATATAATCTTCTATCTAGAAACTATATCATGGAAGGCTAAAAATATTTGATAAAAGGTGTCATAAATTTGTTTAAATGACATCCTCCTGACAAATTAATATTCACTAACGGCTCAGAAACTACTTTCTCAGCGAAAAATCTTGCGGTCACGTGAAGTTTTGTCACATCACATTTAATTATCACATAGTAAGTTTGTAACATGTGACGAATGATTATAAATTATGTAACGTAATGATTTTTAAATATGAATGTTGTATTATTAGTCGAGAACAAAATAATGAATATAAGCAAAAACAAAAACAAAAAAAAGATGAATTCTCAGTTATAAAGAATTAGATCAATACTTGTCTGAAATGATTAATAATATTGAGCATGAGAAAATTTTGAATCTGGAATAGATTTTCTTGTCTCATCAACAAATATTTTCAATCAAAATAAAATACCAAAAAAAAAAAACGCAAATAATATAAAAAAAATTATTGGTGAAGTTGCTGGATATTATTATTATTAGCTCATACATAAAAGATGTATTAATTTCTTTAAAAGTCAATAAATTTGAAAAATAAAAAAATAATATTCTTATTTTTAATCTGTTCATGAAACTTTTTTATTTTTCAATTTGTCTGATTGTTTCACGAAATACTAATTAAGTTGAATCGAATACACTAAAATATTGTTATTTCGATGCGTATTTCAGGCTACTTTGATCCTTTATAAGTCGCAATGAATACAAAAATTTTGTAAATTATATCAGCATTAATAATTTAGTATAG